TATTATTTTTTCAATTTCAAAGAAGTTTTCGTTAAGCAGTCCCTCTTAAGAATATTTCTCTTCAGTCTCTAGTTGCACATTAGATAAAGTGGTTCGTAAATATCGTTGGGTTGCGAAATTGAAACCCCTTTGGGATGTAATTTGTCAATAGCGCTTTGCCGGGGCTATTCTCAGATCGATGATAAGTTGTGTGTCATTTATCATTTCGATTTCACTAAAAGTAACGGTTGCAGGTAACTCAAAATTAAATTATACTTTATAAGGCATAGATTATTCCGTTTTCTTCTTTAATATTACTATCACGTTCTTTGTCTGCCTCCTTGTATGTATATGACAAATAGCTACTAACCCTTGCTTTACTCGGATGCTTCACTAAGTACGAAGTACGAAATATTATTATGAATGTTTAGTACTCGTATATTATAATGAATTTAAATAATGAATACACTCTATTTCTTTTAATATCTTGAAGACAAAACACGTAACATATATTTATTTTGCGTCATTTCACACAGATAATTGTTTTAGCGTCATTTTTTGCTTAGACACATTACGAGGCGGAAAGTGACAGGCTTTATATCTCGGCACATGAAGAAATACCCTTGAGAATTAGTCTGTCGTAAAAAGTTACTTAGAGTTTGAAGGAAGCTGAGACGTGTACCTTGTAATTATATACATATAATGTGATTATTCTAAAACTAGTAACTTAACCTCGCTTCGCGTTACGTTTTAAATAGATATGAATAGTCCTTGCGAGTGTACTTTAAGAGAAAGACTTATGCTATTGCAGATTTTTTGTAGGCCTCATTAAGACCTCCAGTCTTCTAGTACATTGTTTTGACGTTAGATTATTAAAATATTTAAGTATTCACTTTGTATGGAAGAACGTACTCTGCCTCCGAATACAAATAAATGATTCCTTGGAAATGTTCATAGCTAATCGAAACGACATTTTAATGACTATGCAGTTTCTTAGGTTTGCTATTAAATAACTGATGATCATTTTGATTTATTTGTAGATTGCGCTGATTGGAAATATACATAGTAGTTTAATAAGAACATACTTCTGTAAAATTAACTCACTGGTCTTAGTAGCTTATATATTACAAAGTATCTGGACGGCCGAGCTTGGCTCGGAGTTCTTTTATGTTATATTATATTTTTTAGATAAAAAAAAAACAAAACTTAAAACTTTGTATCCCACCGGGATTCCACATCGACATACCAAGTTTCAGAAAAATCGTTAGATCCGTTTCCGAGATCGCCAGTATAAATACATAATATATAAGAATTGCTCGTTTAAAGGTATTAGATAATGAGGTTTTAGTTTAAGCTCCTTGTTGTGTAATAAACTGGATCTTGGAATACGTTTTAGTCTTTTCTTGGCCCCTTAACCCTCTCTAACCTCTCGTTAGTTCATTTATACATTCATTCATCCACAGATATTGTGGCAGACCAGGCATAGAAAATTTCACATGAAATAAACTTCCTTATTAACTTCTTTAGAAGCTTCTTTTTAACCTAAAAACGTGTTATTTCCTTCCAGTCCTTAATCGAATTCATAGATGAATAATAATCTTGCATTCCCTCATGAATTTCTTTTTACTTTCACCTTTCGCTAGTTCATTCAAACATTATCATCCACAGATAGGAACATCGCCGTAAAGTAAAATAAAATATCTTCAAATACCTTGGTATATTCTAATCTAATGTATTCTTGAATGTATTCTTCAAATAATGCAATGAATTTCTGAAATAATTTCATCTGACCTTTTATACCCCTTTCGAGCCCCTGGCTATCGTGCCCCTCCTACCCATATAATTTAAAACACGGTAAAATCGATAGCCTTTCTATTAACATCATAAAAGTTACATGTACCCTATAAGATATAGGTAAATGATTTTAAAAATGATGCGATCCAGCACAAATATAGTATAAATATTAAATAGCGACTTACCCTCGCTCCGCTCAGGTTCGTCCCTGGTTACGTTTTAACGTTTAGTATGATTTTTCAGTCATAAGATTTTCCTGCAGTAAAAAGTATCCTATATACTGACATGGATAATCAGCTATGATCATACCAAACTTCATTAATCACCATACTAAGTTTCATCAAAATCTGTGTAGTGGTTCTCTCATGATGTGTTCCTATAAAGACAGACAAAAATTCTAAAAACTATAGATTAGGCCTCTGTAACGATAATAATGAGTATTAATTCAATAAGATCTTCCAAAAAATATTGAATGTACAGATTCGACTCAGAATTTTATTATATGTATAGATTACCTTACAAAAATTATATTTCGCTCAGAGAGATGCCAAATTCTTATATGTAAGTAAGGTGTAACAAATTTAGCTTTTTGTTAATGCGTTTATTTCGTTAGGTAGATTTTTATTTAGCGAAGGTCTTGTGAAATCCTCTGGCCTGATACAAAGAGCTTTGAGTATGACCGAGACTTAATTTCCAATCAACACCAATACAATTAGGTCAGGGTAATTAAGAATAAAGCAATTATTCTTAACGCTATACCGAAATTGATTGGCATTTGTTGTTTATTATGACATAGGATTAAAATATTGGGAAAATTCCCATATTAAAGAAATCTTTTTTAAGAAATGAACTAACTTCAAAAAATAAGAGTTTCTTATTTTGGGTGCATAGATATGTGATATGATATATACAAAATATTTCCTTCTATTGCGAACCAATTTGGGTGATTCTCACAAGATTTTATTTAACTTGCAATGTATGTTTGTCCGGGTTGAATCTCGCAACTCAATTTTGAAGCAGATATCTTCAACCGATTGAGCTGAAATTTTGTACACACGTTTAGTTTGGATGACAATGCATGACTAGCTATGTTGCGTCATTCTAAGTCCTATATGGTGGAGCACTCAAGATGGCGGACTAATTATTTTTAATGCACTCCTACAATATGGGTATCAAATGAAAGGACTTGCTGATAATAACTCGAAATATACAGTTACGTCACTCTAAATCCAATATAGCGGATTCCTAAAGATGCGGACAAGCATTTTTTGTGCATCCCCGTGATATGGATATCAAATGAGAGGGTTTGCTGAGAAGAATACAAATAAAATAAAATGCAATCGTGTGTATTTTGCAAGTTTTTTTTATTTTATATGTGTTTGATTGTCATTTGTTCTGTGGACCAATTAACATAAATAAATAAAACATTTAAAATATGGTAAATCTCAGGTGCATCTTCGGGAAGAATGGTTTAAGAACGCATAGAGGACAAATATACAAAGAACCATAATATTTTTTATCTATATATATAGATTTACAGATAAAACCTTAAGTCACTAATAACCTTTTCTTTGAACTGACTTTAAATGAGAATAAATTTTTAGTTAAGGGCATATGTGTATTATATAAAAAAATATAAAATAACAGTATGTATCACTTCTTAATTTGCGGCAATTTGTGAATAACATATAAAAATTTTAAACGTCCCAACAAAAATATATGTAGTATCGAAAATCCATTACTACCTACGAGATCTCAGGTGATCACCGCACACTGGTAATTTTATGAAAAAAGTTGAGGAAAACATATTCTTGCTTCTTTCACACAGCAGTTTCTTATAAAGCCTAGAATATTGTACATTTTTATAAGATCCTTGAAAAGAATTCTCATATCGCAATCTTAAGTCGATAGCTTATGACAAAATAATTTAGAAAGTTCGTGGAATGCGGCACGTCGCGTCCTACCGATCTCGGCGGGTTTGTTTTGAAATTCACTTTATAGTTTTATATCTGAAAGGAAATTCTTCATATCCCTGTGTTATTCGAGTTAGTGATTTAGGTAGTCAAAATTTCTTTAAAAATTGTGTTATTGAAAATTATAACCTACATATTTTTTGAATAATTAATTTTTAAGAAATGAAATGAAATAAACTTTATTCAATTAGACTTATTACAAGCACTTTAGAATCGTCAATTGAATTTAAGCGTCAGTGTAGACAATCCGTGAGGATGGAGGAATACCACCGGCTCAGAAAGCAGTTCTGTCGAGAAAAGCATGAAGGATTTATTCCCCTTTTGGAGTCGAAATCTGGATGTGACAAGCTTATTTCTATTCCTAGTGTTTATTGTGTGTCTATCACTGTTTTTTATTTACATATTTATTTAAATTTTTGCGAATAAGTAATATATTACACAGTATAGTTATATTGTGACGCAACTGAGAGTTTTCAATATCACATTGAAAGTATATTATATTTTTCATCATTACGCTTAAATTTGTTTTACTTAAAATTTAAATCGGACTCTCAAGGAGAAGTATAACGTTTAGAAAATCATGAAAATAGTTTAACAGCTGACGAATATCTGATATAATATGCACAAAAAATTCGCACACCCCGTAAACTCGTAGAAATTGAGTACTTCCCCCCTAACGTGCGTTCACCTTGTCGTGGTGGGGGGGGGGCTTAGTAGTGCCCGGCAATACAGCCAGGCGCGAAGCCAAGAAACGCTTCGGTGGGCGGTGGAAGGTGGCCCTCTTCGGAGGGCGGTGTATCATGCGGGTTACTCCTGGTACTTCTCTGATAGCAGAGTGGACCTTGGAGCAACCCCGTGGTTGTTGTGGTCTGCTTTGGCAGACCTGCCGTCGGGGCGTCGCAGTTGAATGCGTAAGCGATCTTGCGACGCCCCATTAAGACGGGGGAAGGTTTTGTTGAGTTTTAATGGGTAGTACTGGCTTTGCCGGTGAGTCCCAGACCTCGTGCGTAAATGCATTTCCCAACGTTAAAAAAAAAGGAATTGAGTACTTGAAGTATAAGAAGCGGGTGATGTCTTTGCCAGATATCAACTTATTTTCAGAAATAAACAAAATTAAATGGTCTCGTGACCATAATATTTAATGTAAAGCATTCGAAACGTCGGGATTATATATATATATTTCGGATTATATATATATATATATATTTGTACTAAATAATATAATAATGGGAGGTAAGGTAATATTTTCAATTAAAGGTTTCGAGGAATAAACTTAAGTTGTATATCTGGATCGGCCTGCGTGACTAGTGACGTAGGTTTAAAATTGATTTTGAGCGGCGTGTCTTCTGCTAATTCGACTTTAAACTTCTTAAATATGGTCAATAGCCCCGCATGCATCATCATCTTTGTGAATCGGAGAGCTGAAATAATTTAATTGGTGAAACAAAATTATAATAAAATAATTTAAAATTTAAATATAATAGAATATTTTTAAATATTGTGTTGTAGAATGTGCGCCTGAATTTTTTGTAGGTTTTTTAATTGATAACCTTGGGCTTTGCTTTGAGTGTAATATTTATTGTAATTAGTGAATTGAGTAAGAAATAATAAGATTAGATAAAATATTTGCTAAGTACGAAATAATACCGTACAGAGTTGAATAAAAATATTTAATGAAAACAATATTTTTTGTAACATTCAAAAATACCGAAAAAGTTAGTTATTTAGAAAAGTACATTAAAATTATTATATTAAAAATGTAGCATCAGTTTAAATAAAATTTAGTATTTGTAGACATTACCTATGCATATTCTCGGCCCTTCTCCAAATGGCATGAATGTGAACGGCTTGATCTTTTTCCTTTCTTCTCCCAAGAAACGTTCTGGACGATATATTTCTGGCTGCGGAAAATTCTTTGGGTTTCTATGAATTTGATATATAGGGATGTGAATATGAATCTCCTTTTTTAAGTGAAGTCCTGTTGGTAATGTATAGTCATCCATCACTTCTCGGGTTACAATGCCCACAACTGGATACAGGCGCAGGGTTTCGTCTATACATGCTTCAAGATAAGATAGCTCATTGACACATTCATAATCAATACTATCATGCTTTTTAAAATAACTATCTACTTCTTCAATCACGCGATTCTGGATTTGTTGATCTTTTGCCAGTTCGTACAATAGAAAAGTCACTGTAGTCGATGTTGACTTATATCCAGCCCCAAATAATGCTAAAGATTGACCCGCCAGCAGATCGTCGGTAACTTCAAGTTGGGATATCTTCTTTTCACCTATCTTAAAATTACTTAAGCTTTCACTGGATATATATTTAATTTTCTTCCATTCCACAATCATGTCTATGAAATCGTTTCGCTTATTCCCATATTCTAAACGGCCTTTACATGCTTCAGCAAAAAATCCACTGAAGAATTTTGAAATCTGTTCATCGAATAATTTGTATCCTAACCTGTAGAATAATGCCGGCCACATCGTCCTACACACCATTTTGAGACCTCTAGAGATGGACGTATCGAATATCAAATTACCCATAATTAAGAAAGGATTGTTACTTATATCTCTTTTCATACTGTTAGCGTTGATCCCAAATATACACGATATAACGCAATCCATTGTGTACCTCGCTAGTAAACTTCTAACATTGACTTTTTGTGACAGTCTTATTTCCATTTCAAGATATTCTTGTAATTCAGTAGTACTTTTTATTATTAAAGGAAACATACTCTTCAGCTTGGAAGAAGTGAAAAGTGGAGACATGTGTAAGCGTAAAATTTTCCAATCGTCACCTCCAGCAAAATTTAAACTTCGAGTCAAAGTTTCTTTATGCGCATAGTTTGTAACTTCTTTACCACTGAAATAGTAGAAATCTTTGGTCGTAATGAGTTTGATCAAATCCGGGTCCTGAACAATGAGAGCGGGCTCTGTGCCAAAGAAAGATCCAATATAAGGTTCCTCGGGGTACTGCTTGCATATGTCACTTGTAATCTGAGGTCTAAATTGTTTTTGAAGAATATATCCCATGTAATTACCAAATAAGAGCTTTGGCTTAACGTATGGCACTTTCCTCTTTTTCCAATAGTCTTGTTTTTCCTTCAATGTGTAGTACACTGAGTAAACTATTATCAATAACAAAATAACAAATTCAAATAACATAATTATTTTCGTAAATTAATTTGTTGTCTTGACTACACGAATGTTCGCCAAGATATAACTATACATTCGTTGTCAGTTTATTTGGCATTCTAACTTATTTAACAATGGTGATTATATATCTACACATTAAATACCTATACAAAAATAATATCAATTTAAAATGTGTTTTAATTTGCCATTAATTGCGTTTAATTTATTTAATTACGTTTAATTTAATTGCGTTAGCCATGTAAACTAAGGGCAATGTCCTAATCATAAATAATTTTATTCCCATATAAAGTTTACCACCCCCATTTACCCCTTAAATAATTCATTCCTAATTTCTAAAAATCTTACATAATATATAACATAGTACAAAAGAAAAATAAGCCAATCCCACGGGAACCGTAAATTTTTCTAGGATGAAAAGCTGGAACCGATTTGAAAAATTCTTTTTTGTTTCAAACGGTATACTTCCCAGGCGGACTTCCTTTATCGAAATCGATCGAGCGGTTTTTTAAAAAATAATAATAAATTAATTTTAAATAAATGGCTTAATCGAATAAGTTATTAAAAAAACTTTCTTCTTGCAAATTACCTGCTTATTACGTCTACATTAAAAATGGAAAAATAAAAACTAAAAAAAACGACTTCACGGCACTAAAAATTAAAAAATAAACGTGAAAATAAAAGTCGGTGTGCTTTAATTGATATCATCTGGCACCGACTACGAAAATAACTAATTAGGTATCTATTTTAAATGAAAACCCCCGTTTAGTTATTTTCGACTTTTCAGTACCTGGAAGTATAAGGTATTTATTTTATTTATTAAGTTCTCCTGATGTACACTTAAGGTTTTTCTAAAGACGACACGATAGAATCAGTTCTTATGTTTTCCCGTGGGAATTAAAGATCTTCTTGTAGTAAAAGGTATCCTAAATATTGACCCTAGTAATAAGTTATCACTACACAAAATTTAGTTAAAATTGGTTCAGTACTTTTTGCGTGAAACGCGCTCCCCCAAACAGACATACATACAAACGTTTTGATATTTTCATTTCATTTGTTGTTTTTAAACAACATTTGATGTACAGATTTCGCTAAGTTACTATATTAATATATATAGCTGATATGTTTTGTATTAAATGTTTTAAAAAATAGAAATAGCGACAAAGTACAGTCTTTTACAAGAAAAACTTTTCTTTTATTATCTATATTACTATTATAAAGAGAAAAAAATGTTGTTTTTGTGATCAACTAAACCGGAAATCTTAAAATTATTATTTAGAGTGTGCACATGGCTAATTTCCATTTTCCATAGAAATAATATGGGAAAATTATTTTATCAATTTTAAAATTTTACATCTCAAAAACTAGTAGTTGGATTCGAATGACCAAACAAAACATGTTCATGTAGGGAATTGAACGCTCTAAAAAAAAACCCTTATCATTTTTCGATAAACCTATCGTTCAAAATGACTACTATACTAGTTTCATCCATACTAATATTATTATAAATATGACAGTGTGTTTGTTTGTCCTTCTTTCATGTCGAAACGGAGAGACGGATGGGCGTGAATTTTTGTGTGGAAATAACTGTTGGAGGGCTGGAGAGTGACAGAGGCTACTTTTTAGCGTGGGAGATTATCTAATTTCCACGGGAAAACACATAATACAATCCAAAAAATATATATGATCAGAATTACTTCAAACTTGGTGCTCTTCAATAAAATTAATTAAATATGTGTTTTAGCAGTTTTCGAGATTTATTCTATAAGGGGGTAGAATGGGGTCTGAAAGTTTATAATAAACCAACCTTTTTAGAGATTTTTTGTAGTTTTAGCGCTAGCGGAGCCGCGGGTTCTGCTAGTTAATAAATAAATGTGGTGCCCTATCCAAAACATGTTTATATTCAGGTAAATTATAATCATCATATACCATGCATTAGAATAAAATATGCTTTACTATATTTTTATACATTAAATTTAACAAAATAAAAAAAAACATTTATAATAATTAAAGTATAGACGAAAAAATATTGGACAATCTGATTCCAGTCATTCCTTGTCTTAACGGCGAATCTCGGTTGTAAATTTTTTTTGTTGTAAATGTTAATTTTTATACATAGCTTTACATTGTTGTATATTTATTTAAACTAGAATTCCCTAAACATAATTGGTGGCAGTTTTAAGAGAACTTTTACATGGGATTGTGTGTCAGTCAGTCAGTCACAGTTAGTCACTGAGTAAATTAATAAAAAAGCCACAAGTAGATTCTAAGAAACATATTATACTAAGCATGTCTAACATTTATTATCTCAGAAAAACTAGATTTTACATAATATAAAATCTCCCAAAACAATAATCCTTACTTTAAAGTTTGTTACTGTCGTTAAGTTTGTACAATAATGCTAACTTTAAATATACGTTTAGTCATAGTTTTGTAATTATTGATGAATAATTTCGAATTTAAATAACAATAATATGTTCTGCGATTTCCCATATAAATTCTACCTTTGTATTCGTATCTAATTATGTATAATCTACATATTATTATTAAAGGTTACAAAAAAAAAGCAGATTTAAGAAAATACACGGCACAAAAAAATAGCAACGTCAAAAATAGTAGCGTAATTTTGCTGTTTATGCTACTATTTTCAATTTTGCCAAACATATCGTTTACTTTCTTTGGCTTCGCGCCCGGCTGTATTGCCGGGCTCTACTGAGCCCCCCAACCACGACAAGGTGAACGCACGTATGGGACATTGCCACGCTCAGTCGCTAGTGGTTTAGCTTGAGACTCAGATGAAGGAATAATATAAACAGAGTGTTATTTAACTAAACATGTGTAGAGGCCGAGTGTTTAGGAGACAAATAAAATAACCGACGTTAGAGATTATACTGACGAAATTATCATAACACCAACCTTATAAATATTACATCACACATGAAACCAAAGTTTTTTTTATCTATACAGAGGCTAAAGTTTAGTTCTCAGAATTTTTATCTATCTATCTGGGAACGCATCACGAGAAAATCACTGGACAAATTTTGATAAAATTTGGTATCTTGATAGCTGGTTATCCGGGTCAACATATAGGATATTTATTACTGCGGGAAAATATCTAATTTCTGAGAAATCTATACTAAACTTTAAAACGTAACTAGGGATAAACTCAAGCGGAGCGAGAGTGAGTCGCTAGTAAATATATAAAATATAATATCACATGCGAAAAGAAATTCACCACAATAATTTCTAATTCATAGGAAGTCCTTAGTGTAAATATAACGGGTAATATCAATTTTCTTCACGTTGGCATCCATTTTCTGAATTCTGACACATTCCCTCTGTGTGCTTCCACGCTGAAGGGAGTATATTACACGTTGCTAGTATTATCGTGCAAGTTCACAGGAATCTGGAATATTACTTCAAGAAGATTGGAAAGTTTCAACTACAAAATAGTTTTTGTATAGCTTTGTTATATATTATGTGTATTTAAGTGTAATTAGGATATATTTATTAATTAACAAAGATTTCATGAATACTCGTATTACATATTCTAGAGCTTTGATAAGTTGTGCGATGTTTGTTTCTTCAATGTATGGGAATCACATATAATTCTACGACGACACGAATTTTCAACCGACTTCAAAAAGGAGGTTCTCAATTAGACTGTATTTATTTTTTTATTGTTTGTTACCTCAGAACTCCGTCATTTATTAACCGATTTGGTCAATTTTTGTGTTGTTTGAAAGTGTATACTTCCAGATTGGTCCCATTTAAATTTCAAAAAAAAATTACCACCCTTAAGGGTGGAAAAATAGCTAATAATGCATTTAACCTAATTCTAATTGTCATATTGACTTGAAACTTTGCAAGTGTTTCTATTTCTGTTGATAGTACAGTGGTTCGGTATTGTTGACCTGATCTGATGGTAAGGCCAGAAGGTGGATAGGTGGAACTCTTCAACGGCTAATAGTAGATACTTTGAGTTTGGGCTTATTTTGTTTGATTTGACAAGCCTAACACGTTAGAATTTTTACTTTGCTACTTCTGTCTACACTAAAAAGGGAAAAATAAAAACTTTTTAACAAAAAAATAAAAACCGACTTCAAACAAAAGCACTAAAAAGTAAAAAATAACTGATTGGTAGTTTTTATATACTATACATACCTAATCAAATATTTTCGAAATCGGTGCCAGCCCATACAAAGCAAAGCACACCGACTTCGAAAATATTTGATTAGGTATGTATAGTAAATGAAAACTACCAATCAGTTATTTTTTACTTTTTAGTGCTTTTGTCATTTCAATATAATATTTTATAAAATGATCCTTGTTAGACCGAGCTTCGCTTAACGTAGGGGCTATTTCAGTAGGTCATCGGTAGATCATCATACATTGGCGACAATGCAAGTACCACAAATATTTACGAGTGAGCGCTATATGAGATTATCATCATGAGAGGAGATAGACAAAGGCTCTAATATAATTAATTATAAAAAAACGTTTTTTTTTGTGAAAAATGCGATTTTTTCAGAAAAGATAAACTTAAAAACAAAACCTTATATAAATAGCCATTATCTAAACACAGAACCTAATCGCTAGAGCCCTTTCTGAGACGAAATAAATTTATAAACAAGAATCGCTCATTTAATATTATAAGATTCTCCAGCGATTGTAGAATGACATCTTATCTGAGCCCCTTTTAAATCTACTGACAACCTCCTCCATCAAAGGTCACATTTTCAATTATAGTACAAAGTGTTTTATTTTTCTCGAACTCCAAAGAAAATAAAGCCTTTGCAATAATAAATCCTGTCTCTAAATCAGTTTGACATGGGAGCTTATATTAAATAAGTAAATTTTTTGTATTTCGCTGCAAAAATATTAGATAAAGCAAATTTTGAATGGATTTAAATATTAAGAGGTTTTTATTTAGAGGTTGATCCGCCCCTTGGAGCAGCAGGCGGTCGGCCAACGCGGTGTTTGATAGAGGCCGGGCGAGTCTTATTATATTT